CGTTAGCGGGGCGACGCTCCAATTCAACAAGTGATATCTGAAGATGATGGCAGCAGTAAACTTAGTTGCGTTGGCCCTTTTTTTCCCGATGAAATTTGAAGTTTATATGCCCCCAAATTTGCCATTTTGGAGCTGAAAAAGGTGTAGCGTAGTCACAGCTGTTGCGGATACCATCCCGGTGCCTTGTCGTCAATAATGAGCGGCTTCTCGCATTAGGATGTCCCGCTTTCTAGCATCATTCACGCATCACTTATCGCAGAACGTACGCTATATATGCTGCACCCCTAGGGTCAGTCTGTGGGCTATCGACTGAGATAACAATCGCGCAATTAAACCCTGGGGGCCCTACGCGGCCAATGTAATAAAATTGGGTAGGTAGAAAAAAGTCGATTGTACCTAAAATCTACCACCTACTACCTACACAAACCGCGGCAAAAATTTAGCCAAATATTCAAACGCAGATAAAAATGGGTGAGAGATTGTTCGTCTAAGGCTAGTGTACTGACTGGCATTTCTGGGTACACGCTCGCCGAATACATTCATGTAGAATAAAAAAAATGCTGTTTCCGTAGATACTGCATCGAGCCAGAAACATAGGTAACAGCAAACACGTAGTAGTCAGCATTTTCCACGCACGGTCAAAGCAATGTCTATAGCAGATAATGTCGTTCAACTCGACGTGTTTTTCCAGCTTAAGCACCATGACGAATGGAAAAATCCCTCCGACTACGTCTGCCGTTTATTCACATGCTCTCGCTTGCCTTTGACTGTTTTCGTTGGTTGGCGGCACCTCCCGCTCGATAAAGTTGCTGCGTTTTACGAGACGACGGACTGCACCTACAGGCACGGGTCCTATACTTTCAAACTGGGTCGACTCGGGACCACGAAACTGAGATGTACTATTTTGAGGACGGGCCAAAGCGAATTCGATCGGTGATGTTGGGACACAGCGAATCTATGCTACAAGAGGCGATGAAAGTCAAATTTATCTCTGGCAGCAATCACTTAAAGACAATATTTGAGAGTGCGACTCTGGATGCAAACGAGACGCTGGCTAACATGTCTAGTGAGATCGAATGGGTCGGTGACGACGGTGGACTCTCATCAAACTGGAGTGATGTTCTTCCTCACATGTCTCCTAGCTGAAAAATTATGGATGGGACGCAGTGAGTGATAAGAGGTCGTTGTGAGCAAAACCAACCTCCAGCGTAGTTTGCTTTTTCTTTCAGTGACATTGCAGAACTATTTGTTTTATTCTTATCTATGCAACTGCATAAAAGCCGCTGAGTTTTTAAAGAAAACACACGCAAACACACACACGGAAACGTGTTGGGAAATGACCTCTGCAGACGCTTTGCCTTTCCGTTTGTACGTTTGGCGCGACCAGTTCGGGCTGAAGAGTTTCCTTTTGTTGAATTTACTTGATAGCATCATTGCAGGTCTTCCTAGTATAACAGGTCACATCATTCCAAATAAAATATCAACATTGTGATATCCCAAGCGCTTCTTCATTTCCTTATTTGCAGGCTTCTGGGGGTGTTTCGTTTGCTTGGATAATGTCGACCCCCACACTGTCGATTCCTTATATGCGCATTAAGTTTGCAGAAGCGACCGTACTGACTTATACGAACCCGAAGCCTTGGCGGTGCTTGAAGATTAGCGACTGTTCCTACTGGCACCGCTCGAAAACTGTTTATTGGAACAACCTCGGCTCCCAGTATTATGCCGTTTTCTACGAGAGCGATAGTTGCGATCCAGACGAAGACGACGAGTATTCCTATGTGTCAGACTTGGGCTATTCTGTCGGAGACTATACGTTCAAGACGAGCCGGGTATTGCGATCCATGGCGCTGGAAAGATACAACGGAGAAAGAGCGTTCACGTACGCGAACAATTGCCCAAGTGGTGACGAGACTTCCGCGGTGAACGAGACGAGCGTCTTGGTGACCTGGAAAAGTGATGATGGGTTAAATGAGCTGTCGTCAAATTGGACCGATACTCTTCCGTGACAACTATTATAGCTTCATGGCTCACTGTCCGTAATAGGAACTCAATTTCCTACTAGAATGTTCGTCTAGTTTACCTTAAACACAGCTTGATGACTTCTGAGTAATCTGTGATTGTATATAAAAGCATATTCCCCGAGTCAACTTTCGCATTTTTTTAATTAGTTTTGCCCAGTTTGTAACTTTCTAGTAAATCTGGGCATTAAACCGGGATCATTCATGTTACAATAAAACGAACACATCCGAGCTCACAGTAGGCTCTACACTCGCGGCAACAAACTTGTTCCGGTACCAACGTGCCAGAACGTTCGAGCGAGGCGCGCTGTAGTGGCCACCGGATAGATAAACGCGCAGCCTCTGGGAGCGGCCGCATTGACCAGAAGGCAACAATCCGTTTCTCGCCCTCGAGCAGCAAGATGCTCGGCGCATAGCGCACCAG